ATAGATAGATAGATAGATAGATAGATAGATAGATAGATACTTTTTATGTTCAGGAATGACAGGAAATAAAATAAACTGAATCTGACATCTTACTCTGAAATATTGGTGTTCTTAAATATTTTTTTCATTGTTTAGTAGCACTGAAATATTAGAAAATGCATTGATATCAAGTAACAATTCTGTCATTTTAGGCTGCAGAGCTTCTACAAACTGAAGTTTTATCTATTTCAGGAGCGCACAGAGACACTCGACTGCTCATCAGAATCAGAATCAGGTTTATTGCCAAGTATGTTTTTAGACTTACAATGAATTTGCCTTGGTGTTTAGTGCACAACACAACACTTCTATGAGAAGCAAGGAATAAAATGTAGAAATAAAAATATAGGACAGAAATGATAAAACTGAAAAATACAATCTTTAGAAATATAGATCTGAATGTACAAATGAACAATCTTTAAAAATATAGATCCGAATGTGCAAATGAACAATCCAGGGCTCAAACCCCTAACACTGATTCATCCAGAGCTCAAACCTCCCTCATTTCTGGTCCACAAAGCCCACCTACCACGTCCAGGACCCCGAACAGGAGCATGTCCACCAGCACCTCGGTGGTGCTGGTCCAGTTCCTGACGGGCCTCATGATCCTCAGCTCCTCTCCGGGCGCGTTCAGGTTCAGGTGTGTGAGGAGGCCGTGGTAGGAGCATCCTCCCTCCTGGCAGCTGGAGGCGCCTGCAGGGAAACACAGGAATTCAATTCAATTCAATTTTATTTATAGAGGATTGTCTCAGAAAATTAGAATATTGTGATAAAGTTCTTTATTTTCTGTCATGCAATTAAAAAACATGAAATGTCATACATTCTGGATTCATTACAAATCAACTGAAATATCGCAAGCCTTTTATTGTTTTAATATTGCTGATTATGGCGTACAGCTGAAGAAAACTCAAAAATCCGATATTATAATATTTTGTAATAGGATAGTTGGGTTTCTTAAGCTGTGAGCCATAATCAGCGATATTAAAACAATAAAAGGCTTGCGATATTTCAGTTGGTTTGTAATGAATCCAGAATGTATGACATCCATCCACTATCAATACCGCTTATTCCCTCATGGGGTCGCGGGGGAACTGGAGCCTATCCCAGTGGTCAACGGGCGAGAGGCAGGGTACACCCTGGACAGTCCGCCAGTCAATCACAGGGACACACAGAGACACACAAGGACCAACAACCACTCACACTCGCATTCACTCCTAAGGGCAATTTCCCCAATCTCCAACCAACCTAACATGCAGGTTTTTGGACTGTGGGAGGAAGCCGGAGAACCTGGAGAGAACCCACAGACACAGGAAAACATGCAAACTCCACCCAGAAAGGTCCTGGTTTCCCCGGGATTCGAACCCAGAACCCTCTTGCTGGGAGGCGACAGTGCTAACCATCAAACACACAGGAATTCAATTCAATTCAAATTTATTTATACAGGATTGTCTCAGAAAATTAGAATATTGTGATAAAGTTCTTTATTTTCTGTCATGAAACCCAAAAATCCTATCTCAAAATATTAGAATATCGGATATTTGAGTTTTCTTCAGCTGTACGCCATAATCAGCGATATTAAAACAATAAAAGGCTTGCGATATTTCAGTTGATTTGTATTGAATCCAGAATGTATGACATTTCATGTTTTTTAATTGCATGACAGAAAATAAAGAACTTTATCACAATATTCTATTTTTCTGAGACAGTCCTGTATAGCGCCACATCACAACAACAGTTGTTTATCTCACAGCTTTCCAAACAGAGCAGGTCAGACCCTACTCTGAAGTTAATTACAGAAACCCAACAATTCCCACCATGAGCAAGCACTAGGCGACACAGGGAAGGAGACCCTGAAAGCATCCCTTCGCCTTTTGGGGGGGGGGGTAAAATGGCGGGCGACTTACCGACCGAGGCCAAAAAGGCCAGGACCCTCAGAGCTGCCATGGCCGTCTGATCTCCGCCCGACTGGACCGGGCCTTTTAAAGCCGCGGCCGCCTCCTCAAACATGGCCGCACAATGCCCACAATCGTTTGTTTTTATTCGGGACGGAGCGGGGCGCCTTTGTCAAGTCCTGTGACACCTAGCACCTGCGCGGCGCCCCATTGTTGCTCTGCAGCTGCAGCCAAAGTCAACATCTTTGCTCCATTGTGACGGAAAAAGTGATTTAGAGCAGTGTTTTTCAACCAGTAGTGCCTCGGTACACTAGTGCGTATCAGAGGGATGGTCAGGTGTGCCGTAGAAAATCATCCTATTTCACCTCATTGGTCTAAAAAGATTTTTTGATAAGGAATTAATTATCTGCAAATAATACGCCATTTTTGAGTGTCTGTGCTGTACTAGTGACTGGTGGCGTAATCATGTAATAATTCCTTATGACTAGATTTTGTATATAATTTGGACATGTTAAGAGCAATTTGAAAGAAGAAATATAAAATATGATAAAAATACATTTTTGTGTTTATTTGATTCCTATTCAAGACACTTAAGATTAGATAAGAATAAAATAAGAATAACTATAGTGTCACTATAGGCAACTACAGATTTGTTTGACATTTTTGTTTGGTGGTGTGCCTCGTGATTTTTTTCAATGAAAAAACTTACCTTGGGTCAAAAAAGGTTGAAAAACACTGCTTTAGAGGGCACGCTGTTACCAAACGCGAGCAGAAACAGGGGGGGGGGGGGG